GGGAGCACCAGGAGGGCTGGCTGCTCGTCCGCCCCAGCAAACCTGCGTCCCTCGAGGCTGCTGCCCAGGGCCAGCACACACGGGCATGGGCGAGAGTGGGGCACGACCGCAGGGCAGGAGGCCCGGGCTGCTGCCTGCCTCCTCACCGCAGCCCTTCTCCTGGCCACAGCCACGCTCACCATCCGGCACCGCAGCCACCCCCCGGCCCAGCCGCCTCCGGGTCCCCGAGCCCCTGCTCCCCTCAAATGCCCACAGACCCACTAAAGCAGCCGTGGCAAAGCCCATCCCACTGCTCCAGGCTCTCACTGCCCACCCGGAGCCAGAGCCGGGCACGGTACCATGCTCCGGTGAGGGCTTCCCTGCCGGGCCGGGCAACGAGAGGGACGTCCCACGGGAGCTGCCATGCAACCAGGAGCGTGATATACTGGGAGAGCAGTACACAGCAGTAAGATTTATTAATTTCCAATTAATTTTATCTGCCTGAAGCTGGTAAGGGTGGCGATGACCCCCAAACCGGAGAGGAGAGGGGATCACGGGATCTCATGGGATCCCATCGTGCCAAGATGGTGCTTTTGAGGTGTCTGACCCCAAACACGGCCCCTGCTGCCTTCACAGCACTCCTGCCTGCACCGGATGGCACGCTGCCCACACCAGACAGCACACTGCCTGCGGCACAGCCAGAGCACATGCACCGGGAGGTGTCAGAACGAGGACAGGAGGGCAGCTGAGGACAGATGGCTTGCTGCAGCCAGAGGACTTTTGTCCTTGCTGGCGAAACGCATCCCCCCCGTGCCAGGACCGGAGCAGCCGGGGCTCGGCAGGGGCTAGGCAGGGGCTGGGCAGGGGCTGCCCTCCCGCGGCGCTGGCCACAGGCAGGCAACAGTCCCGGGGGAGCCCCAGCCCCCCGGCCCAGGGGAGTCGGGGTTGCCGATACCTCAGGAGCCCGTGCACCAGCAGCTCCCAGCTCACACTTAGCATCTCTTACACACGTGCGTGCGAAGCCCGGCAGGTCCCTGCCCGCGTGCACACCGCCTAGGGGCAAGGGATGGCTTGTTCTGACCCCACTCCATGTCCATGTACTAAAGCAAACCTGCTCCGGGATGGCAAAGGGACCACGCTACGCCGCAGGGGGGCAGGGGACAGCTATGGGGGTGTGAGCGGTCACCCTGGCAGGGGGTGGCCAGGCTGCCGGGAGCAGGTCCCGCTCCCTGGAGTGGGTGCCACTTGCTTTGCAATGGGGTGGGGTGGGATGGGGTGGGATCGGGGGGGTGGGGGGTGTGTGTGCATCCAGCTCCACAATTCCTAAAGTGCAGCTCCCTCTAGTGTCACACCAGCCCTCCAGAGCTGCCACCGTGCACCCACGAGGCAAGGTCACTGCTGTGCAAGGACAGCACCCATGAGGAGGGTCCCCAGGGTGCAGGAACAGCACCCATGAGGAGGGTCCCTATGGCACAGGGGCGGCACCCATGAGGCAAGGTCACCGCTGTGCAAGGACATCACCCGCAGGGAGGGTCCCCACCGTGCAGGGACAGCACTCACAAGGAAGGTCCCCACGGTGCAGGGACAGCACCCACGAGGAGGGTCCCCACAGCACAGGGATGGCACCCATGAGACAAGCCCTAAGGCACTTTCCAGCAGCAGCCCCGGGGTGCACGCAGCGGGCACGGCACGGCTAAGCCCAACAGACACACGGTGCTTGCGGACAAGGAGGCAGCTGATGAAGCACCGGCATCGAGACCAAAAACTCATCCTGGCCTAATTATTCCTAATATTCAATTCATCAATCTTGAAGGGGATGATCGCACTCCGCCGGAGCGGCTGCCAGCGGCGATCCCTCCTGGGGCTTGTCACACCGTCAAGCCGTGCCAGCTCTTCCCAGGCAAACGAAAGGCAGCAGGAAGGCAGGAGGTGGCTCCGAGCCAGGCAGGCGAGCCCCAGCCCCGGGGGACAGGCTGGGGCGGGTGCTGGGGGTGCACAGGGCAGACCCCAAACCTCAAGTCCCCTGCAATGGGGAGGGTCCCCACATCCACCGCTCCTCAGGGACACGCCAGCACAGCCACAGCCTCTCGGCACCCATCACCCATCATGCCCATGCAAGAGAGGGGAGGAGAAGGGGGCCAGAAGGTGCTCGGCAGCGGAGCAGCAGCTCAAGGGGCCACCGCAGCCCACGGGGACTTGCAGCCGGGGATGCCAAGAGTGAGGCTGGAGCAGTCGGCACCGGTCTGACTTGCCGGACCTGCCCGAGGATCTGGGAAATCAAGATCTCCCAAGGATCCAGGAGATCAGCCAACCCCAGGGCTCTGTGGGAAGAGACGCCCTTCGAAGGGTGGCAGGGCTCCCTGGAATGGGCAGGGCTCCCTGGGGCAGGCAGGGCTCTGCAGGGCAGGCAGGGCTTCCCAGAACAGGCAGGGCTCCCTGCGGCAGGCAGGGCTCTGCAGGGCAGGCAGGGCTCCCTGCAGCAGGCAGGGCTCCCTCAGGGCAGGCAGGGCTCCCCAGGGCACCCCTGCAAACACGCACGGAGCTGGAGCCAGGCCGACACCGCAGGCAGCGCTGCGCATCGGTGCCAGCCCACCCCGTTTGATCTCCCCACAAGCAGACAGCTCTCGGAAGTCGCTAGCTCCCTGCTGGGGTGGGCTTTAAAAGTATATTAAAAAAGGGGGTGGGAAAAGAGGGATTTTGCCACAAAGATTGATGCTGACAGCGAGCTGCGAGAAGGCAAGGGCGAGCCACCCTGTGCAAGGCTGTCATTTCAAATCAGAACGTGCCGCCAACCTCGAGGGACTGTTTTGATCATTAACGGAAAGGATTTTTTCGTCGCTTTCCTCAATCAAATTAATCTGAAGTGAAAAACGTGGAGCTGACAAAGGAAATATTTATAAAGCAAACGAGGCAACATCAAAGGCAAGCGGGCGCCCGGCTCCCAAGGCTACTGAAACGGCGAAGGCAGGAGCCCGGTGTGCGCTCCTGGTTATGGGGAGCTTTAAACATGGAGGCTGGCGGCACTCGCAGCCAAACGGCTTTTTGCTTCTATTTCTGGGGGTCACTGGCTCCTGACCAGACACTTTGGGCACGGGGATGGCGGCAGCTGGCCGCTGTCCCGCTTCCCTCCTCCTGCTGCTGACAGCGGTCCAACGGCAGCGGAGCAGTGAGGATGCGTCGCTGCCTGCTCCTGCCTGTCCCTCCAGATGGGATGATCCTGCTGCCCGCCCCTCTGGGTGCATTCAGTGTGATGCCTCAGGCCACAGCACCATGCTGGGGATGCCGGGAGGAAGGCAGGACCCTCATCTTCCTCCCCGGCACGGCAGCCCACACCACCCAGACATGGTCATGGGGACACGGGGGGTGCAGAGAGCAGCCACCAGCCTCGGGGACGGCCGGGGACAGGGGCTGCCCCACATGGGGACATCTCCCCCAGCACCTCGGGGCTGAGCACGGGGAACACAGGACCGGTGCAGGCAGCACCACGAGCACCAAGGGTTCTGGCAGGGCTGGCCCCATCCCCAGCCGCGGTGGGGACCCGGTGACAGGAGCCTGGGGCTTCGGCCAGGTGTGCCTCGGCTCCTGTCTGCGAGTGTGCAAGGGTGAATGCAAACAGATTTGGGGAGAAAAAGGGTGGTTTCGAGCAACAGCCAAGCATGGCAGGGTGGGAGAGACCAAACCCCACTCCGCTGCACGGCAGAGCAACGGTGGCTGGAGGAAAACCAGCGCCGGTAACCCCCAGGGTGGCCGGCAGCGCTCAGATTGGGACCCTGCCGAGGTGCAGCCCGGCACGGGGCCAGGACCCTCCCAGAAACAACTGGGTTTCCATTTCAGAGACCGGAGCTCTCTTCACAAGTCCCAGCAACATCCTCGCAGCCGCTTTTGACTACGACAAGCGACAGACTTCCCATCAGAAAAGTCTCGCAAGCTGCTATTTTTTTCCTTTTCTTTTTTTTTTTTTTTAAAATTAAAAAAAGGGCCTTGAAAAGGAAAAGAGCAATTTGGGCGGGACCTCGCAGCCGCTTTTGACTACGACAAGCGACAGACTTCCCATCAGAAAAGTCTCGCAAGCTGCTATTTTTTTCCTTTTCTTTTTTTTTTTTTTTTAAATATATAAACAGGGCTCTGAAATGGAAAGATGCAATTTGGCATGGAAATAGTCCTCAATGAGCAGCAGCGAGCAGCCTCGCTATGAAGGAAATTGATTTTATTTGACCACTTTATGAGCATTTGAAAATTGCATCCTGAGCATGTGCTTGAGTAGTTAAATGCACATTATATTCTTCATTCCCCTGAATTGCTCTAAACCAGCCTGGAAAAATATGCCGGGGAAACAAAGGGAAATATAAAGCGACGCAGGTACACAGCATTCCTGGGAAATGGGTGCAGCTGAAAGCAAGACCGCAACCCTTCAGAGGGGCCAGCTCAAAGGGTGCTCCAGCTTTGGGTGCACCCCGCAATTCCCCGCAGAGAGTTCCCGGGTCACCCATAAGGACGCATGTGGCACCACCGGCATGGGCAGTAATGTCTCCCGGCCCCTCATTAGCACCCGCCTGTGCCGGGGACGAGCGAGGACTTTGCCACCGGCCTCGTCCCCTCCGTACCTTCTTCCCGATGAGCTTCTTGCGCAGGAACTCCCGGGCCTCGAACATGTAGGGAATGTCGTAGAGGGGCCTCAGCTTCCTGTTCTTGTCCTGCAGCGGGGGCAGAGAGAGGCACAGGTCAGGGGAGCCCCCCAAAACCACCCTGTGATGAGCATCCCTGTGGGGAGGCAGCCTGCTCCCCGCTCCAGAGCAGACACCCCAAAGCTGGCGCACCCAGAACCCCCAGCCTGCTCCCATGGATGCCCTCCCGCTCCTGCACCCCAGGGTGGGCTCCCCGAGCATCGCCACAGCTCTGGCTCTGCCGAAACCCCGTGGGGAGCCCCTGGCTGACACGAGCATCCTCCCGCGAGGATGTGCCAGCAGCCACCTCGCAGCGCCAGGCCGAGCATCTCCTCTGAGTTTAAGTGGCAGCTCTATAAGGGGAAGGGATGGAGGGGAGTTTGGGGAGGGGGGAGATGGCCAGGGTCCCTCCAACAGGCCGACCATCCCCACTGAGCTCCTCGGCCCCTCTCGCCAGCCCTCCAGCCCCGCTCACCCTGTGCCAGGCAGTTCAGCGCTGCCCAGAGATCTCCGCTCACAAAGGGAAGCATCAAAGGTCTCGCCTCCCCAAAACACTGCACACAGCACCCCCTCCCCGCACCCACCCCTGCCCTGCCCGCCCCGCCCGCGGGGGGGGAAAGCTCAAAGAGCTCTGTAATTAAGAACTGTGCAAGCCAGGTACACGGCCTCTGCTCACACAGGCTCCTGCACAAAAGTTGCTCATTAGACAAGCTCGTTATCAGCCAGTGATTAACAGCACTTGTGGGATGAGATGCCCAGGAAAGGGAACCAGAGGGCATCTGGCCACTCGCTGCCCATCAGCTGCTCAGGGCCTCTCGCGGTGATAAAATCCCTTCAAAGGCTGAGCGAAAAGGGGAGTTTTCCAGCCGAAACAGCAGCAGGGATTTGGGAACGATGCGGGGATGGGAAGGGGCCGGGGAAGGGCTCGAGCTGCACCGCAGGGCATGGCTGCACCCGCGTGAGCTTCGTGGCAGGTCTCGTGGAGCAGGATTGGCAGCAGCGAGCCCAGTGAGCTATGTAAGATAATATATAAGATGCACAGGATAATCCATATAGGACACAGGACACGGGGTGCTGCTCACCCTCCCCGGGCCACCCTCTGCCCCCAGGAGCCCCCAGCATCCTGCAGCATCCCGATGAGCTCCATGGCATGGCATGGCATGACAGTGCATCGCCCAATGGCACAGGCAGGGGCTCACATCCCAGCCAGAAGAGAGCCAGGGTGGGGACTGAGCTGCCACCGAGGCTGGCAATCCCTCCCTTAGGAGTGCCAGCGGCAGGAACAGCGTCCCCCAACCCCTGGCTTTGCTTAGGGGCTCCAGGCTGGGCTCCGGGCAGGGGTCCCTCCCACCCAGTCACCGTCCCCGAGAGTGGCCGAAGCAGGTGCCTTGCAAAAGCACGGGGCAGGCACGCAGCAGCATCCCCGGTCACCCTCCCTGCGACGAGACTTTGGGGACTGAGCAATCCCCGGGTCAGAGACGGTGTCTTCGGAGCCACCACCCCCAAGGGGCTTGTCCCCGACGAACCGTGCCGCCACCACCCCTGGACACAGCACGCGGTGTGATGGCACAATGAACCTGGCTTTGAAAGCAAAGCCAAGGGGCTGCCGCTGCTCGGCACCATCCCCGGAGGGAGCGACGCAGCTTTCCCTGGCAGATCCTGCTCCCTCGCTGGTGGTGTGCTGGGCTTCGGACACACTTTGTGGTTGGCTGCACCGGCACCGCTATGGTTACAGCGCCTTCGGGCCCTGCCAACATGTGAGGGGAGGAAGGAGAAGCCAACCCAATTCCTCCCCTGTGAGGGGAGGAAGGAGAAGCCAACCCAACCCAACCCTGGGAGTTCCCCAGCCCACGCTGGCGGAGGACGGCCCTTGGCACATCACTCTGCTCACCGGCATGCTACTGTGGGGAACGGCCCCCCACACGCCCCGCTGAGCCGGGGAGGAATACACTGAAAAGAGGGAGATAAGGCGAAAGCAGCAGGAAATGAAGGAGAGGAATCAGATGGGAGAGGGAGCAAGCGGACAAAGACACGCCGGCACTCGTGCTCCGCGTTCTTCCGTAATGAATGAGGCTTTGATAGAGTTTATTATGTCCTTGACGCTCTTCCCAGGCTGCTCCCTGGAGCCGTTCCCCCCTCCACCCGCATCGCCGCTCGCCCAGCGCCACAGCCCCTGCCAGCGCTGGTGATGGGGCAGGGTGATCCCGTGAGGGCATCCCCACCCGCGGCAGCGAGCCGGTGCTGCACCCAGCACCAAACCCGTCCCCGGAGGAAGCGCCTGCTCCCGGCAGAGGCTGAAAACCCCTTTGCAGGCAGGGTGAGGGCAGGTCCTGAGCCTGGCAGGGTGCGGGACTGGCAGAGACGGGATTTCTTTTGGGAAGAAGCTTTTACGCTCACCAGGGATCAGCCCGATATCACTTGTGGCACAGAAAAGCTTCCTGGCACCTAATGAGATGGGCTTGACGAGGCTGGCATGGATCTGTGGCGGGCAGCATGGGACACGGTGCCAGCTAGCCAGCCCCGAAGCCAGTTCTCAAAAAAAAACTCCGCGCCCCATATAAAATAAAGCCACAGCTGAGTGCACGGGGACTGCGCAGCTGGTGGGTGGCCCGAGGGAAGCCCCAGCACGGGGGCTTGGGAAGCGTGCTGTTGCCGTAGGAAATGCTGCCGGCCCCGTCTCAGCCCCGCAGTCAGGCCAGCTCCCCAGCTGCACCTCAGAGCGCTGCAGGACGATGCATTATTCACGCCGCTACCCTCCCTGGTGAAGTGCGCGGGGACGGAGGCGTCTCCATTATTTAGCTGGTGCCAGAAAAATTCCCGGCCCCGTGCCAGAGCTGGAATTGAGCCGCGTGATAAATCCTGCGGCGCTGGGAGTAGGGTCCAAGCGGGGCTGCCGGGGGGGTTGCCCACTCCTCCTGGGGCATCCCCCCCACGGATCACGGGCATCCCCACCGGGGCATCCCCCCAGGGCCCCGAAGCAGCATGCATGAACCCGTCCCCGTCCCCTTGTGGCAGGGCCCCGGCCGCACGGAGCCGGAGGAGCAGGGATGACTAACTCCTCATTTCACAGTCCACTGCTGCAACGCGGTGCCACACAGCCACGGCAGCTGCATTGCTGATAAATCCCCATGCGGAGATGGGGAAATAAGCCAAGGGGCTGAGACACGGGGCGGGCTCAGCCCTCCGACACGGCGCGTGTGGATGCTCCCCACCTTGTCAGCTCCTGCCCCCCTGCCTGCACCCCGTAAGCAGAGACCTGGAGCAGGCAGGGGCTCGGCTGGCCCGGCAGCGGTGAGGGGCAGTGTGCTGGCACAGCTGCCAGCTGTACGTCGGCAGAGGTGAGCACGCAGGAGCT